GTTATAGGTTTTATGCCTTGTTAGGCTATTTGCAATGAAAATGTCACAATTGACAGAACAATCGACCAGTGTGTAATGTTGAGATCTGAGAATCACACAAATTAGAAACACTAGATATATGGATTCCTTTGTTAATTATAATACACATCCAGCACGGTTCCCAGACAGCCCAGGTATCACTTCACCTGGTCCACCGGCACCCCTCTTGCAATGTTTTCACACTGGGCAGGGTCAGGGCAATTATCAAACAATAGGAAAAATCTGGAAAATTAAGGGTCAAAGGTTGTATCTATGTGTTGCTAAGGCGGCCGACGCCCAAACTGCTGGGGGGTCGTAAAATGGTCTTAACTCTACTGAGCATGACCAACTGTTAAGAGAGACACCTACCATCTCTTGATAAAACTGCGGTCTCCAGGGTTTTTTTTGTGACGGTGAGCTCACTACCGTAATTGTGTGTGTTTGTGAAAAAAACGGGAAACATAGTATTCGGAGCTTGCGAAGAAGAGAACGTTATCTTCCTTCATGACCTCCATAAAGAGTTTTGTAGGCCGATTTGAGGCCCCTATATAGAAATACAGATTAAAAGCGGTAGAGTAAAAATAATACGTAATTAAAATTAAACGGGCATTGGGCATTAGTTTTTTTTCAAAATCTACATATGGCATACAGATAGTAGCAATCGTGCTATTCGCCAGCTAAAAACAGACGTGTACACAATATATACATTATTTAAACATTAAAGTTACAATCGAATGCCCCGAACATAGCAATTCATTACAGAATCTTCTGTTGCGTATTCATCAGTTTCAGCTATTGACTAGACTAATCGGCGCAACAAATTATTGCGATGATTGTCTACTGACCCAATGGGATCAAATTAGTCTACACTCATATTTATGTGTAAACGAGTACAATAAAACCATAGTAGCCTGTAACAAATCACAAAAAATCATAAACAGATTTTTATTCGGTCCGTACGGTTTTAGGAGCTCCAACGTTACTGGTGATACTGTCAGTGCGCATGAACATCACTGCTTTGACTCCGTCATACGATGGGTGATATGGACGATACAGTTGTAAATCCGACTCAAATCTGCGATTCTTCTATGTCTATATCAAGCCCTGTGAACCAAAAGGACATTCAACACTTGAACTCAACCATTCCAGAAGAGCGGAAAGACACGTCGCCCGGGGATGTTAAAGAGTCGCTACAGGATGCTCTTAGCGGCGCTTCGGCTGAACACTCTGCCCAGGATCATGTACCTGGTCACAGCACTGACGACGGGGCAGAGCGTCCATCGCTACCGACTGTAGGCCCGTCTCATACAAACATCGGGAAAACTGACCAGAATCAAGCTTTTCACTCTGAAAAGCCTTCGTTACCGGAAACGTGTACATCGGATACACACGGTGACCCTGTTAAACAAAATCAAGCACTCTGTGCTGATAATTCACAGGAAAAGGCAGAACAACAGTCGTCAACTGAAATCTACGATGCCGAAGGTTATAACGAAAATAACGTAGAACAATACCAGGTAAGGGATACCTGTGTTAAAGAAGTATCATCTAGTGCCTACCAATGCAGTGAAGATGTAGACGGGGCAAGCATAGACAATGATTGTTCAAAAAGAGGAGCGGAAGGCTTGGACCAGCCTGTCGCCAAGCAATTAGAGGATGCCGAAAACTCTTATCAGAATGAATTTGAATTAGAGGAGGAAGTCACTGCAGACGATAGTTGTATCCGTCCGTATGCAGTCGCGCACAAACCGGACAGCAAAACAAACTGTGAAGAAGACGATATGTTTGACGTCCAACCCTACGCCGTTGCTAACGATGAACAGGATATAAATTATGACGAACAGCAACCGACGACTGGCCAGTCTGCTGATTGTTCTCATGGCGAATGGAGGGGACCCAACACCAGTTTAGCCGGTACGTTCGTGACAGTTACAACATTATAGGAAATTTTAATAGACTTGTCAACCTTTAATATGTAAACAATAAATCAATCATGCCAAATTCCAATCATGAAAATATTATTTATCTATGGCTGAGACATCGTTGATACGTATCGTTTTAACTTTACAATTTCTTGTTAAGGACATTGTCGATTTTTCATTTTTGAGTTGTATGTTTTTATTCGTAGTTTACGTCATTCATCCTCTGTGAAAGGCATTAGCCCGTATAGCTACAGAGGGCGATTAAGAATATAGTTTTAGCATATCATTTATTAATGATATGCATCTTCATTGCATGTTCTTGCCCAGATGAGTATTCATAGTGTTTAATAGCTTAATTCAAAAGGTACTTCGAGTCAAAAGTAGCATTGCTAAACATTGGGGAACCTCTGTCCTAATAATGCCGACTGCAGAGTCTGTTGCCGGTAAGACGGACGGTCTACTTCGGAACCCCATGTACATCGGGAACGTGTTACACCAAAACCCCATGTACGCTCCAAATGCTGCACAGCCAAGGGCAGATGGAGGTAAGATGCCACAAATTTACCAAAATAACCACATTGTTACCCTATGATGCGTCAACAAAATTTATCTCATCAGTTTCACTTGCTTTAACACAAATACAAGCTTCTAGTCCGAACTAATATTTAACACAGCTACATAACTACCTTTGTTATCTCCGGCAACATGGTGCTTATTGGAAGGGGATCGGAAGAAGCATATATATAATTATATATAATGCAGATAACCATAATAGAAGTTTGGAACCACTAGTCTTAGGCCGTTCACTTTCCCTGAGGAATCTTCTAGGATTTATTCCTCATACCGTCCATTTTTGGTCATTTCTATTTAAAAATTACCAGCATAAAATGTCCATAGAGACCAATGGTATGCAGTTGCCCTTATGGTAATGTTTGAATTCTGTTTTTCTCTTTATTGCTGCTTTCCAGATCATAGTTGTGTGGTGTCTCAATCTTGCCTGGTGAATGTCATTACCAAAGGCTTGGTCGTGGCGACGCTAGCGGTCATAACAGCTCTTATCATCTCAATCTACGTCCCACATAAGCAGAACAGTTACATGCAAACGGTACGTTTTCTTTTACGTTAAAATTCCAGTCAACATTCAAATCACCAGTACACCTTTTGCTATTTAAAGATATAGGAAACTAATATTTTGGAGCCAGAACAATTTTTTTATTACATTTAACGTGTTTACTTCTGTAGGTATTAATTACTGAAGACTATTTTGTTCTTTTCCATACTCAGACTTGGATGAACCCAACTTTTGAAGTCAAAACTCCAACTTACGTAATCCAGTATATAAACTACACATCGCCTCCACAACCAGATTTCAAAGGTGATTCTTCGTTAGGTTAACCTCACTTGGCTAGTTGGTCAAATTAGCTTCAGTATAAAATCTTTGTTAACAGTGAAACTACCAGATAGATTCAGGCATAATATCTAAGCATTGCCTTTATCAAGATCTCTCACTGAGTATTATAAATAACCATGAATGAATACATCGTGATTTAAAACCATAACTTTCCCGGTCATATACGTGACTTACAAATCACAACAATCATTATGTTACATGTTTTATTAGACATTTTACTGCTCAGACGAGATGTAATATGGCAAGAAATGCATTTTTCAAATTTAAATGTTTTGAATTTGTAATGTGTAGTATAAATATTCTTTTGATACGTCTCTCCTCCTCCAGGGGTCTCCAGCTCATAACTTCGACATAAATACAAAACTCACAGATGTTCATTGTCCAATCAAAAAGACTCTGTCCTTCTTCCAGCGGAGCCACAACAAACATTTGATTGCTGTACAGTTATAAAATTGATTATAAAAATTGCAGGTGTGATTTATTAGATAGAGATGTTATCTGTGTATATATCTTGTTCTAACTATTTATTGTCATATATGTCTAGGTATGTGTTAGGTGTGCACGCTATCAGCATACTTGCTGCCTAGTGCACACTTTGTATTTTCTAGTTACAATTGTAAATAAATAAATACGTTCTTTTCAATTCAGAGAACGAAAACAAAGACCTTCAACAAAAGACGATCGTCTTTCGACTGAAATGTGAAGAATCTTCCGATTGTTCCGAGGTAAGCTCTGTCGCCGTGTCGCCCTGCAACGAAATATTCCTAGCTGACACCTACAACAGGCAGGTTCAAGTCTTCAGCATGAAGGGCGTCTACCTCCGCCGTTTCCCCACCGTGACGTCAGGGGAAAACTCCGAGACATTGAAACCCCATGACATCTCCATCGACGGGACGGGACATGTGTGGGTAGTTGGGAATGCGGACAGAATGTCAGGGTTTATTGTTCGATACACTAAACTTGGAAGTCACCTAATAACACTCCGCGCAACGTTCAGCAATAATTCTTTCTCCGGCATGACTGTGGACACACTTCGTAATCTTGTCGTAGCGACAGAGTACTGGTGGGGTTATGGGGAAGTCAAGCTTCTGCATTTCAATGGTACTGTTGAGCACAAGTTTCGGGTGCAGCAAGGTTCGGGGTACCCCGGGTTGGTCGCTCTGGGACGGGAGGGGAACATGTTTGTGTCCGACAGTATGGGAGATGCACGTGTCCATGTCTATAACAACAGGAGTCAGTACCTTTACAGCTTTGGGTGTGACGACATCGATGAGGGTCAGGCAGAATTTGGCCTGGGTTCAACAGAAATCGGCATGGGTCAGGCAGGAATAGGCGAGGATCAGACAGTAATCGTCATGGGTAAGACAGAAATCGGAGAAGGTATAACAGAAACCGACGACAATGAGGCAGACGAAGTCATGGGAATCTGTACAGACGGTTCAGGAAACGTTCTGCTGGTCCGGTCAGGCGGGGCGGTAGACATGTTTACAGAAGACGGGCGGTACGTGCGCCGCGTTGTTCCCAGTAGAGCTGGCGGCGTGGCAGTAGCCCCCGGCGGACAGCTGGTAGTGACTGATTTTGACACCAGTAATATCACAATATTCTATCAGTACTGAGTGCTGATACATTTGGATATATTAATAATACTACACATAGTACTGTTGTGACACCTAGTCTACCTTGAGTAGTTTATTGGCACGTTTTCACTCGTGCTGGTCTCGGCACCATGTAGACCTGTATCATTATCTACATTAGGCCACACCAATCTAATTTGTTGGTTTTCGGAGTTTTTTCTTGAAAAATATGACGCGACAGGGCGGAAAAAAAGCTCTTAAGTCTGATGGTTAAGCCAGGGCTGGAAGGATGGGCCCGGGGCTCTCGTGAACATGACAAATGTATACAGAAAATCAATAAAAGACAATACACATTGTATATGTTAGTACATACTGCTATGTATATAGTCTTCTTTTTTTTCCATTCACATAGAAAAAGGATACAGGACATGGTGATGCCTCACTCAAGTGGAAAGCACTTATGTTGACGGCACCACTAAATAAATACATATAATAAAGAAAAGAAACAATCGCAACTTTAAGACAGGCAAAAAACAGTAATTACAAGAAATTCAAGAGCGCAGGTCCGGTTCCCCACCCAATGATAAATGATGGCAAAGAGGACACAGTACATAAATAACAATAAATATAGCTCTTTTCAAAGCTTATTGGATTTTTTATCAAGTGGTATCAATAAATATACTTTTCATAATTCATTTTATCAACGTATAATGGCAATAGTACTTACATGTAGAATATCATCATTAATCATGGTGTTGGTCATCAACAATCCCGGATTGTAACTGTTATATTTACTAAAAAAATAACAAAAGTCCGAAACAGAAGTTTTCATCTTCTATTCATTTAAGTAAAAAAAACCTAAGTGGTGACGAAGTGCACTTTCAGTACATGTTTATGTAGACTGTTGCAACTTCTGACAAGAAATCATATGCAAAATCAAAAACAAGGTGTACAGAAGGATATATTGACCAGGATTACTTTTCTGATGGCTAAAATACTTCAGACTAATTTCGGGTTCGCCATTAATATAGTTCATCAAGGCAAACCCCGTAATGCAGACATTCTGTGGAGATTCAAGAATTTCAACGCAAGTGTAACCCAAAGTCAGACAACATCACAAACAGTGGCTTTCTCCATTGTCATTTTCTCGCTTCTTGAAGCCTACACTCCTAAATTCACTTCGAAGGAATTCTAGCGAACTTCCTTAACGGCGGAAAGCTTTCATGTCTTGAAAGACTGCAGAAAAAAAGCCCTTCTATTGGTTCCCATACATTACATTACCAACTGTTAAGAGAGACACCTACCATCTCTTGATAAAACTGCGGTCTCCAGGTTTTTCTTGTGACGGTGAGCTCACTACCCTAAATGTGTGTGTTTGTCTGTGACGGGAAACATAGTTTTCTTCGGAACTTGCGTTATCTTCCTTGATGACCTCAATAAAGAGTTTTGTAGGCCGATTTGAGGCCCCTATATAGAAATACAGATAAAAAGCGGTAGAGTAAAAAAAAAATAACGTAATTGAAATTAAACGGGCATTGGGCATAGTTTTTTTTTCAAAATCTACATATGGCATACAGATAGTAGCAATCGTGCTATTCGCCAGCTAAAATATTTACAGACGTGTACACAATATATCCATTATTTAAACATTAAAGTTACAATCGATTGCCCCGAACATAGCAATTAATTACAGAATCTTCTGTTGCGTATTCATCAGTTTCCCGCTATTGACTAGACTAATCAGCATTTAATCGGCACGACAAATTATTGCGATGATTGTCTACTGACCCAATGGGATCAAATTAGTCTCCACTCATATTTATGTATAAACGGGTACAATAAAACCACAGCAGCCTGTAACAAATCACAAAAATCAAACAGATTTTTATTCGGTCCGTAGGGTTTTAGGAGGTCCAACGTTACTTGTGATACCGTCAGTGCCCATGAACATCACTGCATTGACTCTGTTATATGATATGGACGATACAGTTGCAAATCCAACTCAAATCTGCGATTCTTCTATGTCTACAACAAGCCCTGTGAACCAACAGGACATACAGCAACACTGGAACTTAACCACCTCAGAAGAGCGAAAAGACACGTCGCCCGGGGATGTGAAAGAGTCGCTACAGGACGCTCTTAGCGGCGCTTCGGCTGAACACTCTGTCCAGGACCATGTACCTGGTCACAGCACTGACGACGGGACAGAGCGTCCATCGCTACCGACTGTCTGCCCGTCTGATAAAAACATCGGGAAAAGTGACCAGAATCAGGCTTTTTACTCAGAAACGCCTTCGTCACCGGAAACGTGTACATCGGACACACACGTTGACGATGTTAAACAACATCAAGTACTCCGTGCTGATAATTCACTGGAAAAGGCAGAACAACAGTCGTCAAATGACATGTACGATGCCAAAGGTTATAACGAAAATAACGAAGGACAATACCAACTAAGGGATACCTGTGTTGAAGAAGTATCTGCCACTGCCTATCAATGCAGTGAGGATGTCGACGAGGCAAGCATAGGCATTGATCGTTCAAAAAAAGGAGCGGGGGGCTTAGACCAGCCTGTCGCCAAGCAATTAGAGGATGCTGAAAACTCTTATCAGAATGAATTTGAATTGGAGGAGGACGTCACTGCAGACGATAGTTGTATCCGTCCGTACGCAGTCGCGCACCAACCGGACAGCAAAACAAACGATGAAGAAGACGATACCTTTGACGTCCAGCCCTACGCCGTTGCTTACGATGAACAGGATATAAATTATGACGAACAACAACGGACTGGCCAGTCTGCTGATTGTTCTCATGGCGAATGGGGAGGACCCAACACTAGTTTAGGTACGTTTGTGACAGTTACAACGTTATAGAAACCATTTATAAATCATTTGTCCGTCCCTGTCTTGAGTATGTAGATGTGATCTGGCATGGCTGTACTGCTGAAGACTCCGCTCTTGTTGAAAAGAATCCAATATGAATGTTCTCTTATCGTCTCAGGAGCAGTTAAACTTAAAGGCTCTTCTTACTTATCTGTTTGTCAAGAACTGAGTTGGGAGTCTCTTTCTAGCAGACGGTATTTTCATCGCTTATTTTTATTTCATAAAATAGTCAATGGCCTAACACGGATATATCTTTTTGACTTAATCCCCCCTGAAATTTCTCAAACTACTCTGTACAATTTAAGAAATAGTAACGACTTTCGACTTTCGTTACAAGTTACTAATAGGTTTAGTAGATCTTTTATACCCTATTGTTTTGAAGTTCGTTCTTTACAATACTCCTTGTTCCGGAAACACCTTATTAGATTAGTACGCCCCCTTTGTCCCCCACATTACAATTGTGGCCCGCGTTACACCTGCGCCCTTCTTGTTCGGCTCCGCATCGGCACCTGTGCTCTCAATCACAGTTTGTTTACCCGAGGACTCTCTACCAGTGCCTCTTGTAGATGCGGGTGTCGTTGCGAATCTGTCATGCACTTCATGCTACATTGTCCTTTATACAACCACAAGAGATCGGAACTTTTTGGCAATCTTGCAGATTTACTTGGTCATCTTATCAACCTTAATAATATGTCAGATAATGCTAAATTACACTTTATTCTTAGAGGCTCCTCAATGTTGTCCTCTATGTACAACTTTAAAACGATGCAACTCACTCAGGTTTACATTGGAGATACCAAGCGCTTCTAGCTAGCTAGAATTTCAATAGACTTGTCAACCTATGATATATAAACAAAAAATCTATCATGCCAAATTCCAATCATGAAAATATTACTTATGTATGGCTTGGACATAGTTGATTTTTATCGTTTTAACACTACAATTTCTTATTGAGGACATTGTCGATGCTTTATAATTGAGTTTGTTTTTATTCATAGTTTACGTCATCCTTTGTTAAAGCCATACAGCTACAGAGGGCTATTTTAGAATATAGTTTTAGCATATTTGTTATTAATATCCATAGTTTTTAACAGCTTAAGTTAAAAGGTACTTCCAGTCAAAAATAACATTGCTGAACATTGGGCAACCTCTGTCCAAATAATATCGACTGCAGAGTCTGTTGCCGGTAAGACGGACGGTCTACTTCGGAACCCTATGTACATCGGGAACGTGTTACACCAAAACCCCATGTACGCTCCAAATACTGCACAGCCAAGGGCAGATGGAGGTAAGATGCCGCAAATTTACCAAAATTACCACATTGTTACCCTATGTTGCGTCAACAAAATTTACCTCATCAGTATGTTTCACTTGCTTTAACACAAATACAAGCTTCTAGTCCGATATGATATTTAACACAGATAAATAACTGTCTTTATTATCTCCGGCAACATGGTGATAATTGGTAGCTTTTCGAAAAGGGGATTGGAAGGAGCAAATGGTATAATGCAGATAACTATAATTATAGAAGTTTGGAACTTCACTAGTCTTAGGGCCGTTCACTTTCCCTGAGGAATATTTAGGTTTTATTCCTCCTACCGTCCATTTTTGGTCATTTTTTACCATTTACTTAGCGAAAATGGTAATACCAGAACAAAAATTCATTCCATCCAAGACAGACATTGCAAGACCATGTTAGAACATTTATCCATGCCTTGGAAGTTTGTATACTTTCTATTGCGGTTTCTAATTTCAAAATCATGGTTATAATAATGTTGCATAACAAAGCTGCTGACAAAACAAACTTAATTTGTCTTAAATAATAACTGATTTTATTATTTGCCAAAAATGTTGATAAAAACATGTTTATAATCACAGTAATCAAGGATTTTAATAAACTGCATAAATTATGTCAATGAGCATTGGCAGTGTGGCTTAGTCTAGATTTTCAGCTTTCCATATCTCGGTTCAAACTTGACCAATTTTAATTTTGTTTCCACAAAGGGGAAGCTTATAAAATGGAGATCGCACCACAGTAGTCACG